CACCTTTCTGGGAGGTTATGAAGCTGAAAATTGGTGTCAAATACAACACATACTGAATATCTGTTGAATGTATTTACTGGGTTTAATGCTTTAACTTCATGTTAAGATTCTCGTTCTTTTCACCTCAGTATGGGAAAAGGCCAGTGCAAGGCCACCTGTACACAGCTCTGAGCAGAGTGGAAGATGAGCGGAGGGCAAATTAGCTTATATTGACAAAAAGTAGATCAGAGGTTGACTAGAGACAAAAAGAAGCAGGTGGATGTATTAACAAGGGGTGGAAGGAAACTTTTAAGGGTGCTGGGTATGTTCATTCTCCTAACTATGTGATGATTTTAAAGATGTATAACTATTTAGTGTACTGCATGCTTTAAAGATGTATCTGTTGCTGTTAGCTGCCATCCTGTTGGTTCTGAATCTTGGCAAGCGTCTGTATGTAGAGAGGAACTGCTCCACAAGATTTTCAAGGCTGTGATCTTTCAGAAGCAGATCACCAGCCTATCTCCCAACATGGCTGTGGGTGGGATCCAATGCCAGACTTTCCGCTTGCTAGTATTTGGTCACTTAACCATCTGTATCACACAACCTATAATAGTGTACCTTTATCATATGCCAAACATTGCATTATTTCAATAATAGTCACACATACAATTTGCATAAGATGCATAGGAAACTAACACAAAAGATTGCCTAGTTTGCAAAAAATACAGCTAAAAAACAAAGCTGCTAAAAAAAGTAAAACATACACCAAGTTCTTAAAAAAAAAATCTCAATGTAATCGTCAAATTTTAATTTTGCATTAGAGTATGTAATATAAATAAATAAATGCATCAGTCTTCGTATCTTGTGACTTAACTTCATCAAAATTAAAATTCAAGTTTTTTAAGAACCTACATTCCAGATATTAAAATGTTTGATAAGATTTTAATTCTGATCACTTGCATTGCTCAGATAAAGACACCAGAATCCACAGAAAAACTTTTCTCAGTAGGCTGAAATGGAAACCTATAGACTGGAAAACCTCCAAAAGAACAAGACTGATAATAACAAAATGGGGGAAAAAAACCCAAAAAAACTCCCAACCATAAAAAGACTTCACAAAGGAAGATATTTGGGGGCCAAAAGATGCATGAAGAAATGCTCAAAATCCCTGACAATCCAGAAAGATCAAATCAACACAACAATGAGATACATCTTATCCTAGTAGCAACAGCAAAGTTTAACAGGACAGTAAGCAATAAATGTTGGAGAGGATGTGAAGAGACTGAAACTTTCATGCACTGTTGGTGGCACTGTAAAATGGTACAACCACGTGGGAATGCAGTTTGGTGTTTCCTCAAAAAGCTAAACTTAGAAATCCCATTTGATCCAGCTATTCCACTGCTAAGAACATATCCTAAGGAAATTAGAACTGAGACTCAAGTGGAGATATGGACACCTATGTTCATGTTGTTGTTGTTGTTATGTGCCGTCGAGTCGCCTGCGCCTATGTTCATAGAAGTTATTATTCATAATAGAAAGAAAATGGAAACAAGCCAAATGCTTATCAGCAAGCAAATGGACTGAGAAACTGTCGTATAATTACACAATAAAATACTATGCAACATTAAGGAGTAATTTTGTAAAATATAACATGGGCAAACTAGAGAGCATTATGCTACGTGAACTATCTCAATCTCAAAGACAAGTAACGCCTAAGACCATTATTATAAAAACTGAAGAAGCTCTGGTGGCCAAGTTTCAGGAAGCTGCACTGCAATCGCAAAGGCACGCAGTCTGAGGCCACCAGCTGCTCCACAGGAGAAAGATGGGCAATCTCCTCCTGTGCGATTAACTGCCTCTGAAAACCTGCCACAGGGTCAGGTCAGCTACGGTTTGGTTCTGACTCGACAGCACATGACACCACCACCACCACCAACTAATAAGATATGTATAGACATTCCAAAGGGGAAGGAGAAGAGGGGAATGAGTGGAAATCATGAGGACAGCAGGGTTTAGTAGTTGGACGGAGTATGGTGGGGTGGTGAAGGAACAGGGGTGGTAAAGGAATAGGAAAGATCCAATGTGGACAAAATGTAGATGAATGATTGCATGAAACACAGTACAAAACACAATGTACATAAATTTTAAAAAAAAATCTACTATATATATTTTAAAAGTGCCTTCTAAACGAACTCAAAGTGGTTCAAGGACCAAGGAATAAAACCAAAGACAATAAACTTCATCAAAGAAAAGTTTAGAAGAACTCTGGAAGCTCTAGCCCACAACCTGAACAGTCTCTCAAGCATCTTGAAAAACCTACAACCAGGAGAGAATAAAATAGATGAATGGGAAGAATCAAATCCCTATGTACATCCAAAAAATTTTCCAACAGGGTAGAAAGGAAAGCCACAGAATGGGGAAAAAAAGTATTTGGTAATGACATGGCTGATAAGAGACTAGTATCTAGAATTTAAAGAATATTCCAGCACCTCAACAAGATAAAAACCCAATTTGCAAAATGGGGACAGGATATGAACAAACATTTCACCAAAGAAGACATAAGATGGCAAACAAACACATGAAGAAATGTATAAAATCCTTAGCTTTAAGAGAGATGTAAATAAAAAATAACTATTAGATACCATCTCACATCAGTAACAGTTGCAAAGTTCAACAAAGCAGCAAACAACAAAAGCTAACAAGGTTGTGGAGAAATTGGAACCTTTATTCACTGTTGATAGGAATGTAAAATGGTAAAACCACTCTGGAAGGCAGTATGGTGCTTTCTCAAAAAACTGGAAATAGAAATACCATTTGACCTAGCAATTCCACTACTGGGAATACACCCTAAAGAAACCAGAACTGCCACCCAAACAGATATATGCATACTCTTATTTATTGCTGTGTTATTCACAATAGCAAAGAGATGGAAGCAACCCAAGTGCCCATCAATAAATGAATGGATAGAGAAGCTGTGTGTGTGTGGGGGTGTGTATGTATAAAAATATTTTTTCCACATAGTGAAATACTATGCAGCACTGAAAAACAAGGAATTAATAAAATACTATTCAAAATGGGTAACCCTGGAGGACATTATGCTGAGTTAAATATCTCAATCTCAAATGGACAAATACTGCATAATGCCACTGTTATAAAACAAGACTGACATGAGGTTGGGGGAAAACTAAGAAAAGAGCGATAAATAATGAACATTGCATTTAAATAGATGACGGAAACAACGGTAAAAGAAATACATGGTTAGGTATTATTGGCATGACAACAGTGGACTTGGGGGGGGCAGGGGCAGAGGGAGGAAACTGAAACAATGAAAGAATGTTTTTAAAAAGAAAAGCAAACTGGGAGGGGATGGTTAGGGAAGAAAAAAATGTGCAACACTGAATGAATGGAAATGCAAATTTTTTGTAAACTTTTGTTAAAATATCAATTTAAAAAGAGAAGGGAGATAAAATTTTTTTCTAATTTTTTTTTATTCTAACAGGTTTTAATCTGTAGGTTGAGATGTTTAAATCAGAATTCTTCAAATGAAGTAACAAATGTCATCCTGTCATATTTTGCATTTATAAAATACAAATACTGTGGTATCAAAATGTTTGCATGTAATAATCTATCTTTAATCTCCCAATGTGCATAATTCCCAAAATACACAAGTTTGCTCTCATTTTAGAAAGAATGAGATAAAAAAATGGAATTAGAAGCAAATTGTCTTACTTCTAATCAAGGATCTATAACTTTATTGAGGTCAAATAAAATTCCTTTCTCTGTAACAAAGCAAAAAGAATAATGTATCAGAAATTAAGAAACGAGTTTGTTTAATTAAAGTTTTTCTTTATTTTATTTTCTTGAAACCTGATTCTTTACTTTTTTAGGCTCATCTATTAACCTATAAAACTAGGTGCTGATAATAACATTTTTCTACTCATCTCTCAAGGCATTATAAGGGACAATTAAATTAGCCTTTCATCAACAAGAAAAAGGTAAACCATCCAATTACAAAATGGGAATGGGATATAAATATATACTTCACCAAAGAAGACATTCAGAGGGCAATTATGAACATTAAGAAATGTTCAAAATTCTTCAGCTGGCAGAGAGATGCAAATCAAAACAACTATGAGATATCATTTCATCCCAGTAATAACAGCAAAGTTCAACAGGGCAGCAAACAACAAATGCTGGGGAGGTTATGGAGAGATTGGAATTTTTATTCACTGCTGGTGGGAATGTAAAATGTACAGCTACTATAGAAGTTGATCTAGCATTTTCTCAAAAAGATGGAAATAGAAATACCATTTGACTCAGAAATTCCACTACTGGGAATACACTCTAAAGAAACCAGACCCACAATTCAAATAGATGTATACAGACCCATGTTTATTGTTGTGTTATTCACAAAAGCAAAGACATGGAAGCAACAATGAAATGGATAGGAAAACTAAGGTACATTTCCATAATGGAATATTACACATTTAAAAACAATTAACTCATATAACATTACAGAGCATGAATGAACCTGGAAGATTAGGCTAAGTGAAAGCATGAATGAACCTGGAGGACATTAGGCTAAATGAAATATCTCAGTCACAAAACAAAGTTCAAATAGGGGAGGGAGGTTTGGCAGGGAGAAAAGTTCAACAATGAATGAATGGAAATCCAAAGTCTTTGTAAACTTTCATTAATAATTTAAAAAAAAAAAAGAGTTGACAAAAAAGGACAAATATGTCATAACATCACTGTTATAAAATAGTACTGACATGGGAGGTTTTGGGGAGAATAGGAAAATAGTAAATGGATAAGGAACACTATATTGGAATAGATGAGGGGGAAACTTTCATATGATTAGGCATTTTACAAAGATAAAAATTAGGCATTATATGTATGACAACAATCTAGACTAGGGGAGGGGAAAGGGAGAAAATACACAACAATGAATGAATTAAAAAATTGGTCTTTCAAAAACTGTAAGATCTAAATAAATGCAAAGCATCATTAATAAAACATACCTTTCACATAATTTCCAATGGCTTCTTTGGTATCCCTTTCTGGGTCAATAGTGATGAAAAGTGGAGTTATATTTGGCAGTGTGGGAATATTATCTAAAAAAAAAAAGTTCTTATTAGTCAGTGAGTAGCATCTACTTCCTAAATAACATGCCTCCGGAAACTTTATGAACTTTGATAAATGTTGATAGTTGTAGAGGGGCTTCAGGCCTTTTGTTCATAGGGTTGTTATGAGTCATGCTCGACTTGTGCTCGACTCGACGGCAATTAGCAACAACAAAAACAACTCATATTCCAGGACAAAGACATAAATGATAAAAGGAACAGCTAACATTTAGGTGGGGAAGGAAGGAGATGGATTTTAGGAAGAATATATCCATATATCATCTGGGTGGAAATAGAAAATACACACACACACACACACACACACACACACACATACCACTTGTCCTCTAATTAAAAGCACAGGTTTTCTGGAGCATCAGATAGTCACCAAAGAAAAGGCAATTATAGTGTCTCTGATGGAAAAGATACAAAATTTATGCTAAGGAAAACCTAACCAACTGGTATTTGTAAGGCATCTAACATTTGCCACTAAAACAATAATAATGTTCCTTGCTGGGATTAAAGCAGCAATTTAGTCTAATGCTGTGGTGCTATTTCAATTGTATCTGTTTATCAAATAATTGCAATGCTAATAAAAAAAATGTGAAAACTGCAGCATCATTAAGGATAAAATGAAACATAGTTTTTATAGTGATGGCTTTCTTACCTATTTCATCCACAACTTGGATCATTTTTTCCAGTTCGTCTGGACAGACATCAGGACAATGAGTAAAGCCAAAATAAATCAGCACCCACTGTCCCAGGTAATCCTTGTCAGTTTTAGGCTCTCCAGTATGAGTTGTGAGAGAAAATGGTCCTCCAAGCAAAGGCTTTCCTAGGGATCGATTCCGTTCTTTCTCCAGCCCTTAAAAAAGAACACACACAACAACAACAACAAAAAAAAACCCACCACAAAAGTTGACATTATCTGATACTCAAATGCCTGCTGCTATATGGTTCTTAAAAATAAACAAAACCCCCAAAAACCAAAACTCTCATTCCTGCCAGCTGGAATCTACTTCTAGTTGATCCTTCAATATATTTTCAGAGGCTTTAGATCACAGAAGAGGAGACTATCCAGCTTTCTTCCATACAGCAGCTGGTAGTGGTTTGCACAACTCCTAACCCACTAGGCCACCAATGTTCTCTAAGACACAGGTATGTATAAAGATACATTCTGTGAAACAGCCCATTTTGTGATTTGGATGTTGAGTGCTACTATAAAACACACGCGCGAGCGAGCGAGAAATAGAGATGTAAATGTCTAATTGCCTAGTTCTGTACAAATGAAGACTTAGGGAAAGAGATACCACTCCAAAAGTCACAAGCCCAGATTGAGACTTCTAAATATCATTCTCCATAAAAAAGAAACAGCTTTTTTGAGAAATGGCTAAAGGGTAGGAGCAAGGGAAATAAAAAGAGGAGCTACTAACATGTTAATACCAATTATAAGGAAGAACTCAAAGGAAACAGCACCTGCTTGAGGGGGCTCCCACTGGCCAAGCTGGAGCAATCTGAATATAAAAATTAACTGAGTAACAAACAGGTCACCAGCTGCTCTGCAGGAGAAGGGTGGGTAATCTCTTCCCATGCAATTAAGTGTCTCTGAAAACCTGCTAGAGGGCCAGCTATGGGTTGGTTCTGACTCTTCGGTACACAACAGAGTATAAGTCATTGACTAAATAGAAAATCATGAGTGCATACAGATAAAAAGAAACTAACAAACTGAAAGTTTGATGGGCACAAAATACACATCTATCAATAATACAGAATATTTACATATATAAATAACATACATCACAAAATAAATAAGACACAAGAATAACTTCTCAGTAGAGAAGCCTAAAGCCTCCACTTTAATTAACAAATCAAAATTATCATCCTCCATCATGGAACAAATGGAAACCATGTGACATTTGATTGTAGTAATGCAAATACTTTCCTGATGTCTCTGGCAAAGGTGCACAACCTCAAGTAAGAGGAATCAGCACACAAGTCCAAGCTAAGGGCCAGCCCACAAAATTGGCCTGAAAAGCAACTGCAGCTCAGCTGTTCTGTTGTCCTGGTACTGAGCAATAGCACACACTCCCATCTGTAGCCCCATCTCCTGTAGCACACCTCCCCAGTGCTCTGAGGGGATGCCCAGTGATGCCTTTGCTTTGGCTAGTCACTCCTGGGGTGGCTCCCTAGCCTTATGCCTTTGAGACTTGAACCCATGTGTAAGCTGGTTGGCCATCAGGGCCACATTAGTCAGTTCCAGTCCATAGTCCATGCAGTGCACTTCCATTTGCCCCACTCTTCTGATATGAACCTACTCAGTCTCTAACTGTGATAGGGTAATGGTTAGGGCAGTAGCAGGCAGGACACTGGGGCCTCGTACTCATAACATGGCTTTCCTTCAGTGTATATCAAGGTTGTTTGCTTTAGCTGAGGGAGGAACCGGACAGTACTGTCTGCTTCTTTCCTGAAACAATTTGTCTTGTACAGTTTCTCCACCAGCTACTTTGTGTGAGAAAGATGGGCACTCTCCTCCTGTGAAATTTATTAACTCTGAAAACACACTAGAGGGTCAACTATGAGTTGGTTCCAACTCAGTGGTGTTGTTGGCTGAAGCATTTTTATTAAAGGTGAGGAAAAAAGATTTTTCCAGAAGTGAAATGCCATGTTTTCACAGACAAGTCTACAGTATATCTAACTTTTAAAATTAATATTGTTGTTGTTATGTGCCGACTCTATGCACAATTAACTATGAACTCTGCTCTGTCCTGAGCCAATCTCACTGTCTCCGAAACACCTACTCCCATTATTCCAGTTACTATGTCAATCCATCTCATCCAAGGTCTTCTGCTCGTGCATTGTCCCTTCACCTTTCAAGCTTGTCCTTCTCCAAGGACTGGTCTCTCCTGGCCATGTGCCCAAAGTCCAACCACAATGGAATGGACTGAGAAATTATGGTACATCTACAAGATGGAATACTATGCAACACTCAGGAGCAATGATTTTGTAAATCACTACATAGCTTTGGAGGGACTGGGGAGCATTATGCTAAGTGAACTAACTCAGTCATGTAAGGACAAATACTGTGTCAGACCATTATTGTAGAAACATGTATGAGGATCCAAGGGGAGGAGAGTGGGAGCAGAGGGGTAAGGATTGGACAGAGGGGAAGTTGTTGTTAGGTGCCACTGAATCGAGTACAACTCATAGCGACCCTATGATCAAAAGATATGAACCTAGTCTTGTCCTGCACCATCCTCATACTTCCTGACACACGAGTCCATTGCAGCAGTTACCTTGTCAATCCACCTGGTTGAGGACCTTCTTCTCTTCTGCTGATTCTCCACCCTTCCCGATATCATGTCCCTAAGGAATAGCACCTCCTAGGAATATGTCCAAAGTACATGAGGTGAAGCTTCATCATTCTTGCCTCCAAAGAGCACTCTGGCTGCACCCTCTCCAAGACATATTTATTCGTTTTCTTGGCCATCCATTTCAGTGCTCCTTTCCAACACCACAGCTCGAAGTCATCAACTCTTTTTCTGTCATCCTTATTCACTGTTCAGTTCTTGGATGCATAGTTAGTAATCATAAAGACCATGGCCTGAATCAGACGCACCTTGGTCCTCAAATGACATCAATACTTCTCAATTAATTGGAAGGGTCCCAAACTGCAGATTTTCCCATTGCAATGCATCTCCTTATTTCCTGACTGCTTGTACCAAGGGTGTTAATTGTGGATCAAAGCAAGATGAAGCTGTTGACAGTTTGAATCTCCTCTCCATCCATCATGACACTGCCTACTGAACCAGTGGTAAGAATCTGTTTTCTTGATATTGAGACGCAATCCATACTCAAAGCTGCATTCCTTGATTTTCTGCAACAAGTGTTTCAAATCCTCCTCACTTTCGGCAAGTTCTGTCACTTGCATAATGCAGATTATTGATGAGTCTCACTCCAATCCTGATGCCACAATCCTCTTCATAGAGTCCAACTTCTCAAATACATCTGCTCAGCATATGCAGAAGTGGCATCCACTTCCTAAACGATTTGCCTCCAGACACTCTATGAATTCTGATAAATGTCGATAGTTGCAGAGGAGCTTCAGGCCTTTTGTTCATTGGGTTGCTATGAGTTGTGCTTGACTCAAAGGCACTCAACAACAACATAGATTGAACAGTATAGAGATAGAATACATCTCTGACGCACTCCCTCCCCAATTCCAAACCATGCAGTACTTCCCTGCTGTTAGCACGAAAGCCTCATGGTCTAGGTATAGGTTCCTCATGAGCACAATCAAGTGCTCTGGGATTCCCATTCTTCTCAACGTCAGCCACAACTCATCATGATCCACACAGTAAAATGCCTTTGTATAGTCAATAAAGCACAAACAGACATTCTTCTGGTATCCATTATTTTCAGTTAGGATCCATCTGATTATCAGCAATGATATCCCTGGTGACACAGCCTCTTCTAAATCCCGCTTAAACTTCTGGCGATTCCCTATCTAAATACTGTTCCAGCCATTTTTGAATGATTTTCAGCAGTATTTTGCTAGCATGTGATCTCAATGATATTGTTCGATATCCACATTCAGTTGGATCACGCTTCTTGGGAGAGGGGAGGGGGTGTGGCTAATCATAGGGTTGAACAATTTGATGGGTGAAGGGAGGGATGGGTAAAGGAAAAGGGAAAGATCTGGTGTGAAAAACAATGTATATGAACTTCCTAACTAGTATAACATTTTTATTTAATTTTTTTTATAAAAGCATCAAAGTGAAGCAAAGGAAAGAGGATAGTAACAAAAGTACACATTTCAAAATAAAACAAAACAAACCTCACTGTTGTCGAGTCAGAACCAACTCACCAATGACCCATCAGCATCTTTGTGAGCCTGGGAACTAATGGGAGGAGAAACTTTTTCTCATGCAGAGTAACTGGTGGATTTGAACCACCATTTGAATTGCCTTGGGGTTAGCAGGCTAACTCTCAAGAGAGGAATCACCAGAGCTTTCTTATTGCATTAAAAGATCTCTTTTATACTGAAAGGATATTTTAACATGCTTAAAGATATACTAGAAACGAGTAGATCAAATCTTTTAAAAGTCACCAAAATATAAAACTTTTGAAAACAATTTCCAAGCATTTCAAGGTATGAATTCAGAGCAAGTTCCAGCACCCCTGACTATGTTCTCCCAATCTCCGGCCTTTTCTTCTGTTCATACCCAGGTTGCAGTATCTTCTCACTGTTCTCTATTCTCCAAGGAAGCCATTTCAAATTTAAATACTGCTTGTCTGCATATAGGTGACCTTCAAAGTACCTGAGCTTCCCCCCTGCTGGCAGAACTTTATCTGGTATTATCCTGCACTTCTGCATCTTTTTCCCTCAGTCACATGCACATTAAGGGCTGGATTGAATCTTAGTACCCACAGGCCTTGGTAATGCCTATTTTTAAATCTATCTACAGTAAGTCTTTTAAAATTGCTTGACAGTGATAACCTTGAGCAGAGAGAGAACATTACTAGAAAAGGAGTTTTCAATTTATTTAATAATACTATATGATGGTTATCGGGTGCCACTGAGACAACTGTAATTCATGGCGACTCTATGAACAACAGATCAGAACCTTGCCCTGTTGTGGATCATCCTCATCATCTGTCAAGCTCAAGCCCTTTGTTGAAGTTACTATGTTATTAAGGGTCTTCCTCTCTTTCACTGTCTACTTTTCCCAGCATGGTATCTTTTCCAAAGACTAGCCCCTCCTGACAACATGCTTAAATGATGTGAGAAATCCTTTTATCACCATTTTATTTCTTAATTTTGATGAATATATCACACTTCGCGCTAACATTAAGGGAAAGGAGGTGAAGGATATATGTAAATTTTCTATACTATATTTGTAGCTCTTCTGTGAATCTAAAATTATTTTTAAAAATTCAAAATAAAGGATGTAAAAAAGAATAGTCGATAGCCAGGAAAGAATTTATTTAGAAGTGATCAGATGCTATCTACTTACTTTCTATCTTTTCTTTCTTGAAGTACTTCATTCCAGCCAATAAAGCTCCTCCAATAGCAAATGTGAATGCTAAAGACTTCCAGGAAACAGGCTACTGGGACAGATGGCAAAAATAAGAATATATGGTAAGATGCTGCAATTCACACACTAAGCTTAAGCTTATCAGTTATTATGAGGCTGGTGCAGTCAGGGCAAGGTTCAGATCTGTTGCTATGGGTTCATTGGGTTGCTATGAGGTGTCAAGCCCATGGTAGCTAACAACAACAAGTGTACTAGTTTTAATGAACACATAAAACATAGGCCCTGATCTTTTTAACTGTACAGACTGTTCCAAGTTACTTTTGGAGGAGAAAATACTGAACATTTCAATGGATTCAATTACATCTGTTCTCTTATCAGTTTAAAAGGCAGTCAATCACAGGAAAAATTTCCTAAATCAATTTTTTTTATGTGAAAAGTAATCAATGGCACTTAAGTAAAAAGTTTTTTGATTGTTACTATTTGTGTTCCTGACTTCAAGTGCTGATTTAAAACTCAATGAATTTCACCTCAGTAGCAACAGTAAATTTCAGTAAGACTGCAAATAATAAATGGTGAGGAGGATGTGGTGAGACTGGAATGCACAGAAACTTCTGGTGTGAATGCAAAACTGTACAGCCAATATCAAAAGCAGCTGGTGCTTCCTTATCAAGTTGGGACCAGAAATACTATTTGATCCAGCAATCCTACTGCTAGGTATCTATTCCAAAGATAATGACACTAACTGATATATACAAATTCATGTTTACTGATGCATTAATTACAGAAGCAAAGAGCTAGAGGCAAATCAAGAATCCATCAACAGACAATTGGCTAAGGAAACTATGGTACATTCACACAAGGGAATATTAAGCATCACTAAAAAAACCAATCAAGAACTTCTGGAACACCGCACAACATGGACGAATCGAGAAGAAATAAAGCTGAGCGGTATAAGCCAGCCAAAAAGGACACTTAGGCTGTAAGATTATGATTATAAAAAGGTAAGGAAAGGTTTAAACCAAGAATCTTCTTAGGTAGCTAAATGGATTGAAAAAGTGAGAGGAGCAGGGAGCCCTGGTGGCCTAGTGGCAAGAAACTGAACTGCAATCCCAGAGGTGCCACCATATGCTCTGCTGGAAAAGGAGGGACAATCTCCTCCTGTACCTGTCAGATCCAATTTGATGGTACACACACACACAAAATAATAAATTTAAAAAAAGAAAGAAAAATTGAGAGGAGCAAAAAAATCAATCAAAAGAGATAAGCTGGATGAAGGGAAAGGCAATATGTAGTTAACAGGTAGATGAGACACTGCAATCAACTGTAACTAACGTTATAACACAAAAATATGTGAGTGACTGAATGAAAGACTACTACTGTGAGCAAATTTTCACCTGAACAAAAACAAGAAACTCTTTACTTAGAGAAACCCATGAATAAGAAGCTTGTGCTAACATTAGGTCAAATACAAGAAAACATTCGTGGGTGGCACAAACTGGTTAAGAACTCAACCACTACCCGAAGTTAAGGCCACCCAGAGGTGCCTCCAGAAAAAAGGTCCTCAAACAACAACGCTATTATTGTTGTGTACAGTCCAGTTAGCAGTGACCCACCACTGGTCCTCCAGGGGGTTGTCACAGGCAGTAAATTGGAGGAAAGGAGAGACTGCCCAGCCTCCTGAGGAGCAGCTGGAGGATTTAAAAGTAAGTGTCTGGGGTTGGCAGCACAGCTTCTCAGTGCTAGGCCATCAGAGCTCCCTCAACAATAAGAGACTTCTGAAAAGCCAACCATTCAAAAAAACTAAAAAAACAAAAACACCTACGGAACACCGTTCTTTTCCAAATACAGACACGTGGATGTGTGACGAATTAAAGTCCGCTCGAAAGCATCTGGTGGTGGCAAGGTTTGCAGCAGCTACAAACCCAAAGGGGAATGAATGCACCCCAAAGGGGTGCCAGCTTCACGTTCCGTGCATGTGCTCTTAACAAGACTTGGCAGCGCGAGGTGTGTAATGGTCCACTTTCACCCAGCTCCGAAACCTCACCTTCTCACTCCCCTTCCTACCACCAGAGGGGAGCGGCCCTTTTAATCCTGTTAGGTTCCTAAACGGAAGACGACAAAAAGTTAAGAACCCTTCGGAAAAAGGCACCAGCCGACCGACAAAAGAAAGAGATTTCGCTGCCATTTCATCGTATTCGTGGACTCTCCCGAGGAGATTCAAGAGACAAATTCTAAAAATGCTCGGCTTCTTCACTTCCGGTCACTCTAAAGTTTGAGATTGCAGAGAAAACCTGAAACTTAACTGACTCCAGAGGTGAGGGAGTCCCGAGCGCGGATCCCCAACCACATTGGAGGTGCGGGGTCTCAAATCCTTCCCCAGGCTGGGCTATGCGTGAACCTGAGAAAACTAGGGATGAGCATGTAAGAGCTGACAATTTCAGGGCGGGTCCAGAAGTCATTCCCAAGGGAGAAAGGAAGGTCGTGAGGGTCGTCTCACGGTGGCCATGAGTAGTGAAAGGGCTCCAAGTCGGCACTCACCCCGGGCTTCGAGGGGCGCCCTGGGTTACTGTGGTCCTTCGATGACCCTGGTGGTGGGGGCAGAGCCGTACTGAAGGGCCGGCGTCCCAGGCAACAGGCCGACAACCCCGAGGTCCGCCACGCTTCTTCCCGCCGCCCGCAAAACGGCCTCAGCGCAGCTCTCAAGGTCCCCTCGGGCAAACTCCAAACCCCAAGTCTGTGAGGGAAGAGATGCCAGCGCAGGCCACCCGGAGGCCGCATTATACGGCCAAATCCGAGAAAAACAGTCGCCATGAGATCAGGGGCCCGCGCCTGCTTGGGCCCGCCCGGCAACTTCCGGTGCCGGCTCGGCTTCCTCCGGAAGTCAGCCGTGGCCGCTCTCTCCGCCCGGGACACTCGGTGGTTGCGCTGCCAGCCCTTGGTGGTGGAGGACCTGTCCTTTGAGGACCCCGGAGGCGGTAGGTGATTACATGCAGTTAAAGGCTGCGTCGCGGCCGGGACTGCGAGGACTGGGCGTCCAGGGAATGGCTGGAGTGGGCAGCGGAGCCACGGTGATGGCAGGAACCAGCGGACTCCGAGCGCAAGGGACCCTTAATAGCTTAGATTCTCTGTGCTTCGGAGACCCCAGTGGCATCTAGACCCCGTGAACCCTCCCAGGCCTTTGAGGGGACACCCTCTTTCTCCTCTTCTGGCCAAGTGGAATAGCAAGGTGCTTGACACTTGGGCGTTCCCAGAGTAAAAGCTGATTTATGGCATTAGAAATAATCCTTGTTTTGTTTTTGTTTATTGTTGTCTTCTCTCTTGATAACTGGTTAGGGCGACAAATATCAATTAACTGTAACTGAAGTGTCTCCTGCTCGCAGTCATTCTCGGATTATAATGTTATAAAGCACACTCCTCTACAGGGAGGTACTGCGAGCATCCCAGCTTTAATTTAGTCTCCTGCCTCAGTTACTTCTGTAAAATGCCTTGACTTGCTCTCTAGACCCCTTCAGTTGCCCTATTTTAAGTGTGTTGATGACTTTCTCCCCTTAGACAGCTCGTTTGACTTTGTTACTGAGAGATAAGTTCCAGAGCCTGCACAGTTTTTTTTCCCATCCTTGTGAAAAGTGCTTTCTTTACTTTGATGTGGCATTGGCCCTCCATCCTTGTAAAAGTCTTTTCTTTAATTGATTTGCGTTGGTCCATCCACTTTTGTTTCATTATCTGCAATTTTATACATAGACCCCCGCCCCCAACCCCCAACACACCTGAATTGTACCCCCTAATAGTCCGGTGGCCTAGTGGCAAGAAGCTGTACTGTGGTCCCAAAAGCAAGTGGTTCGAGCCCACCAGCTGCTTCTCTGAAAACCTGCCAGAGGGTCAGCTATGGTCAGTTCTGGCTCCACAGTACACAACAACATATGTATGTAGTGACACGTTGTTGTTGTTCGGTGTGCCAAGATGAGGAAGACTCATAGTGACCCTGTGAACAACAGACCTGAACCCTTTGCCATCGTGTGCCATCCTCCTCATCTCTGACACACTTGAGCCCATTGCTCCAGTCCCTGTCGTCAAAGGTCTTCTTTTCTTTCACTGACCCATCTTTCCAAGCATGATGTCCCTTTCCAAGGATTAGCCTCTCCTAGCAAATTGTTCTTTTGGCAGTGCATGGATTGTTCAGCACTTTTCTCCAACACCACAACTCAAAGGCATCAATTCTTCTTACAATCCTTATTTGTTGTCCAGCTTTCAGATGCCAAGCAAGTGATTGAAAAGACCATGGCCTGAATTGGGCACACCTTAGTCTTCAAACTGATAGCATTGCTCTTCAGTATTTTGGAGAGTTCTTTTCTCTGACAGCCGACTTGCCAAATGCAGTACACTTTCTGATCTCTGGGCTGCTGGTACCAAGGGTGTTGCTTGTGGATCTGAGTAAAATAAATCATTGACAACTTTAGTCCTTTCTCCATCTATCATGATGTTATCTCTTGGCCCCATGGTGAGAACTTTAGTTTTCTTGATGTTGAGATGTAGTTTATACTGATGACTATAGTTCTTGGTCTTCTGCAGCAAGCATTTCATATCTTACTCATTTTCAGCAAGTAAGGTTTATAATTGGCATAACTCAAAATTGTTGATGAGTCAGTCTTTCTCTGATCCTGATGCCACATTTCTCTTCATAGAGTCCAGCTTCAGGAATTATTTGGTCAGCAAAGAGATTGAATAGGTATGGAGAAAGGATATATCCCTGATTCACAGTCTTACTGATTTTAAACTCTGCAGTGTTCCCTTGCTCCTTTGAGATAGCAGCTTTTGATCTATGAATGGAATTCACGTGAGGACAGTTAAGTGTTCTGGGATTCCCAATTTTCTCAATGTTAGCCATAGTTATGCTCCACACAGGCAAATACCTTTGCATAGTCAAGAAAACACAAATAGACATTCTTCTAGTATTCTTTGCTTTTAGCCAGGAACTATATAATGATGCCCCTGATCTCATAAACCAAATAATTGCAGAAAGATTAATGGTGGAATACAGCACAGTCCTAATATAACATAAAGGGAGTTTCCAAGGGTTTGGTTTTCTTTTAGTAGAAATAGAAGAGAAGGAAAGCTAGCTGAGAGCTGAATTGCCAAGAAAGAAGTATGTCTTTTTGGACCTGTGCCCCTGCATGAGCGGAAAACCAAGAAATGTAGAGATCCCAAGAAATATCAGGCCTACACATGCTAGAAGAAACAAGGACTTTATGCCAAAACTGACAGAAAGGGTCTTCCATTAAAGCTGGCTCCCTGAATTTGGACTTCTGGTCAGTACTGTGTTGTGATACTAATCTAAAGACTTCCTGTCTCTGGAGGTTTGAATCTACCAGTGTTTCTATAAGACAAAGGTGGGCACCCCCCCCCCCTTCTGTTTTAAGATCAGCAGCCTCTATCACAATGGAAGGTTGCTATGAGTCAGAACTGACTCAATGGCAGTGAGTGAGTTTAATGTCAGAAGAGACTCTGAAACTTGTATTACAATGTGGAGAGGCCAAAACAAGAGACAGATATTGAGGAGAGAATGCTGTAAGAGAGATGAACAGAAGATTCCAAAGGGTAGCTCAAGAAGACAAAACAAAATGTTACAATGAAATGTGCAAAGATCTGGAGTTAGGAAACCACAGAGGAAGAACATGCTCAGAATTTCTCTGAATTTCTTCAGAATTTCATTGAAATAACTGATGAACAAATTCAAGTATTGTAATACTGAAAGATTTTATGGCAAAATCTTGAGTGATACAGAAATCACCATCTTCACATTAAGAAAACAAAAATCCTCACCACTGGGCTAATGGGCAACATCATGAGAGATGGAGAAAAGATTGACGTCAGTGACTTCATTTTACTTAGATCCACAGTCAACACCCCTGGTACCAGCAATCAAGAAATCAAAAGACTTGTGGAATTGCTAAAATCTGTCAAGGACCTTTATAAAGTGCTAAGGAGCAATGATAATCAGTTTAAAAACTAATGTGCATCTGATTCAAGCCATGATCGTTTCCATTACTTCCCATGTATCTGAACGATAGACAATGATTAAGGATGAAAGAAGAAGATGCCTTTGAATTGTGATGTTGGCCAAGAGTACTGAATATCTTATGGTCTGCCAATAAAACAAACAAGTCTGTCTTGGAGAAAATGCAGCCAGGGTGCTCCTTACACTTCAGGCTGGTGAAACTTCATCTTACATACTTTGGGTGTATGGTCAGAAGAAACTAGACCTCAGAAAAAGAAATGCTTGAAAAGCTGAAGGAACAGCGGAAGAGACGATCCTCCACAAGATGACACAGTGACTGCAAGAGTTGGCTCAAGTATGGTCAGATATTGTGAGGATGGCACAGGACAGGGCAAGGTTCAGAACTGTTGTTCATAGGGTATCTGTAAGTTGTGTTCAGCTTGTCAGCATTACAACAGCAGCAGCAACACAGGAAGCATCAAAAGATGATGGAAGAACTACACAGAGTCACTGTGCCAGAAAGAATTGGTGTGCATTTAATTCAGGAAGAAGGATATAATCAATAACCAGTGGTAACAAAGGGCCTCTCCAAAGGGAGAGCAAAGATATCAGTGTTATTCAAGCTTCTCGGAAGGCATTGGCAAAAAAACAAGGTCCCAAGAATAGATGGGATACCAGCTGAGGGGTTTCAGCAGACAGATACAGGACATGTTCAGTAGCCTATGGAAAGAAGTTTTGAAGACAGCTACCTGGTCAACTGGAAGAGATCCATATTTGTTCTCATTCCAACAAAAGGTAGTCAAACAGACTGTGGAAATTTTTGAACAATATCACTAATATTACCTGTAAGCAAAACCTTGCAGATTATTAAACAGTGATTGAAACATCAACAGGAAATTGTCAGAAATTTAAACTGCTATCAAAAGAGACTATGGCATGAGAGATACTCTCTCTGATGTCAAGTAAATAATGGCTGAATGCAGAGAATACCAGAAAAATGTTTACTTGTGTTTTATTGACCAAACAAAAGATTTTGACTGTGGATCATAGCAAATTATGGCTAACATTGAGAAGAAATGGGAATCCTTGAGCACAATTAAATGCTCATACAAAACCTATACATAGACCAAGAAACAATAGTGTGAACAGTGTATATTTTCTCCATTGTTTTTTTTTTTTTAACTTTCTCCATTCTTGTTCAGTCTGTATTGAGCAAATCTTTTGAGAAGCTGGCCTGTATGAAGAAGAATGGCGGGGACAGGGGGAAGAATGTGGCATCAGGGTTTGAGAAAAGCTCATCAATAACTTATACAGATGGCAGAATCTTGTTTGCTGAAAGTGAAAAAGATTTGAAGTATAAACTGCAGAAAAGACTATAGCCTTGAAAATAGATTACACCTCAACATTAAGAAAACAAAATGCATCACTGGACCAAGAGACAACAATCATGATAGAGAAAAGATTGAAGTTGTCAACTACTCCATTTGACATGGATCCACAATCGACATCTGTGGTAGTAGTCAAGAAGTGAAATGATGTCTTGTATTGGGAAAGCCTGTTTTCAAGGATCTCTCCAAATGAGTGCAAAGCTTTCAGTAAAATTCTTTACTGAGCATTAAAGTTCAGTCAAATCTTTATACCACCACAAGGTGATTTTTCTTATTTCTACTTGGAAAAACTGCAACTATAATTAATTTAGGAGCCCAAGTATCATGGCTTAGTGGTGAGGAGTTTTGCTGCCAACCCAAAGACAGGTGGTTTGAATCTCCCAACTGCTTCACAGAAGAAAGATGAGTACTCCTTCCATGTGGTTTAC